TCATACAAATTTCTAGTAAATAAAGTTTGAATCTAATATCAATCAGTTTGACAAATTTCATATAAATTTTTACTTTGTTTGAAATTTTGAAAAAATTTTTTTCAAAATTTCATTTTTTGAATTTTTAAATAATTTATAAAATTTTAATCACAAACTAAATTTAGTGCATATTTGTATAGCATTTGCTAGTGTCAAAATTGAATTTAATTTTTGAACAAATTACTTTAGAGGGAAAATTTGTTGCATTGATTGCATGCACAGAGCACACTTTTATTTAATAGAAAAGTGGAAAAGACAGCTGAACTTTGCTTTTGCAAATGCAAATATTATTTGTGAATACTATTTGTATTGAAAGTTTGTTTGGCGAAAGCGAAATTTTCAAATTCTTATTGTTATTAAAATTAGAATGCAAAAAAAAAGAAAGCTATTTGCTAATGAAATCTTAAGAATTTTATGCACAAATGTCAACATCTTAATCACGTAATAAAATCACGTAATTTATACTTGCGTATATATATTTGAATACATTAGTGCTGTCTGTATTGGTGGAGGGTTTTGTTTCAAGCAATATAAAAAAAGACTTTTTTTTTTGACAAATTTTTTGAAAATTATTAGCATTTCAAACAATATGTTAAAAAATATAGAGCTAGCATAAAATTTCACGTTAAAGTTTTTTTTCCAGCGTGTCATACGTCATGTTAATTATGGCACTTAGTTGTACCATTGATCTTTTTATTGCAAAATTCTAGAATAATAGCACTTTGTCATGTAATTGCGGTGGTAATTCTATCGGAAAGGCCATTAGATACCGTAACCTTCGTGAAAATACCTTTTCAACTGGTTGGCTGTATTGACGCATTTTTATGTATGTGTGCGTGTGGGTGTATGTGAGTGTATGGGTGGGTAAGAATATACATCTTGGAGACGGTATGAATTTTTAATTGCCATATGATTAGAGTATATCAAATTGAGAATAGCCGAAGCAAATCTAAAATTAATTATTTAAGTGTGCTTGACTCAAAATTTGGAGCTAATTTAAAATTACATTTAAAATTACTTATTAACGACCAAATTTTAAACATTAATTAATAATATATGTATTTATATACAATATATTATCTTATTTTTATACAATTTCGTTTGTTGATATGATAATTTGCAAGCTAAAATTTAATTCAATTACTCATTTAATACTAGTTGCTTAATAAATATTCATTTATATTTTTCATTTCAAAATAATTTTGAAGGTATTTTTGTGCAAATATTTTTATTATCTAAAATAAATTAGTATTTGAGTAAAAATTATAAAATTTGATGCAAAGATCAGTAATTATTCAATATTAGAGCGATAAGAAAAGTTATTCAAGACTATTTACTATACTTTTTGCATGAAGGAAGAAGCATCGAATCGTTGTTTACTCAGCTACAGAAGCGATTCATACAGTCGCTTTCAATTTATCCATTATTTTAATTTTGCTAGCATATTTATCAGTTCAAACAACAAAAGATTATATAGTTTTGCTTCCTCGCACACACGCTCACGCACGCACGTATAAATCCTTTAATCTATTTTACTATTCAATATTATTATTATTAATAATTTATTATTATTATTGTTGTTAATATACAACAATATTATTATTACTATTATTGTGATTGCTATTATGCAAAATTTTTTTTTTATTTCTTGAAAAATTCACACGCAAATTATATTTATCGTACAGCTGCACGCATCTTCGTTCTCTGTTTACCAAACGCACCTGAAAAATTGTTGGCTCATGTGCTGTTATTGACGTTGACACTTAAATTCAGATGGCAGCCGACGTTTGTGCAGAACAGGTATGGTTATTATTCCTTCATGCTTCATTCTCACTTCAATTATACCAAGAAATATGATCAATATTGATAATATCACTATCATATAATCACTATTTGTTATCATTAAAGTTATCAGACTTTATCCTTAATACTTCAAATGTTATTTGAATGATCACCTTTGTACGGATAAAAGTAACAAAATTATCATTATAGCACAATCGTTACTTATTTTCGTTATAATTATCAGATTATGTTATTATCACTTATTACTATCTAAGTCATCATTTTTATGCAATTTAAATTATTGTAGCTTTTAAGCGTTTTATACTAGACGAAAATTCAAGGAAGTCTTAATTTTTACATAAATACTGGGATTAATACAATATCATTTTTTTAATCTAGATATTTATTTTTGATTTTGAAATAAGCTTAAGTGAAAAATTGAATTTTTAATATTTGATTTTCGATATTAAAAAAATTTATAGTAAATTATAAAATGTTTGAATAATATTCTGAATAAGTATTCCGTGGCAAAGAACTTGAAAATCAAATACTAAAAAGTCAATTTTACTTAATTCAATTTTTTTTTAAATTTGTGAATTTTATTTGCAAAATTTATAGTTTACTTTGAACATTTTTAAAATTGTTTTGTTTTACTAAAATTATCCAGTGAACTTTTCGTTTTTTATTCGAAAAAATACAACAAATTTTACTTTTTGGTCATAAACTGTGTTTTGATTATTAAATGAATTACTGTAGTTTATTGTTTATAATGTAACAAATTTGCAGAAATTAATATTGCAAAAAAAAATGTTTTTGACTAATCATAAAGCATAATACTTGATATAAGCCATGACATTGGTAAGGTCAAAGTTGAGGTATTCAACACCATCAATCATGTTTCGAAAATAATAAGTGTGA